GGTTCGGAGGGTTCGGAGGGTTCGGAAGGTTCGGAGGGTTCGGAAGGTTCGGAGGGTTCGAGGGTTCGAGGGTTCGAGGGTTCGAGGGTTCGAGGGTTCGAGGGTTCAGGATTTTGCGCAAGGGCCTCAGGATTTGGGGTTTAGAGGTTCAGGGATTTTGGGCTTTGGGTGATTTTGGGCTTCGGCTTTGCGGGTAATGGTGTAGACAACTGAGCCATTTGGAGGTTTCCGAAAATAGGGGGCCCCAGTATAGTACCCTAAATAGTAGGATCCTGATTACAAGGACTCCAAAATGAGGTACCCTAAACCCTAAACCCTAAACCCTAAACCCTAAACCCTAAACCCTAAATCCTAAGCCCGAAACCCTAAATCCTAAACCCTAAACCCTAAACCCGAAACCCCTAACTTTCGGAAGCTCCCAGGTCGGGAGGCCCTGGAAGCTAGCCTCACAAGCTGCACAAGGCTTTTGCCGGGACACGGTTTAGGGTTTAGGGTTTAGGGTTTAGGGTTTAGGGTTTAGGGTTTAGGGTTTAGGGTTTAGGGTTTAGGGTTTAGGGCAAAACTGGTTGTGCTTAGGCAACCTACTTGGAGGTTCATGGGTAGCTATAAGTGGGGTGATAAGTAAGGTAACTATAGTTATAGCCCATATTACAGGACTTATAACCGCACTTATAACTAGCCATGAACCTCCAAGTACGTACATATTCGGGGACTTATAACCCCACTTACAACTCCCCACGAACCTCCAAGTCGTTGGGTAGGAGCGACCCCGTCTAGCACATACCTCTTCCCTAGCTCTTCCCCGGGTCGGTCGAAGCGAGCCCTGAGTTTTGTAGAACACCTCCAAAAGCCCGAATGTAATATAGGGGTCTTAATAATTAGAATAGGGTTTCGGGTCCCATTCTACTAGAATTATAATAAGGGACCCCCCAAAATAGTATATGTAATCCTTTTAGGCCCCTAGATTACCAAGAATACCTAAGACTCCTGAGACCTGAGTCCCTAAAACCCGGCGCCCTGAGCCCTTCCAGCAAGAAACATACTTACCGGCGAGTGCACCACGACGAAAACGACTCTGAACTCCCTGCAAAGTCAAGGAAACTTACTGCGGAACACTATCTAGAATCTAGACAGCTGCACGACCCAAGAAGGAGCCTATCAAATCAAGTGCGTCTTGAAAACTCTCGATAACACGCCGATGTTACATTGTAGGAAGAATTTCTGACACCCTTTCAAACCCATTCCAAAAACCCTTGTTCAGCTCTTCCTAATCCCAAGCATGTCAAAAATCCGAAAGACCAAGCCCGAACACTCAGACCCTGAACCCCTTTACTCTCCGCCCCGAACCAAGCCCCAACCCTGATCAAAAAACCTGCAACACACGTCAGAAGTACAGCAGGCATCCCTCAAAGATCAGCAGCGGCCCACAAAGCGCAACATCGCTGCATAAAAAAACATACTGCGTATCCCTTTGTGGTATATTCACTCATGAATAGAACCCTCAACAATAAATCCTACACCCGATCCTCCACCCTAAATACAACCCCAAGCCTCAAAACCCTGAAATCCAAACCACAAAAACAAACAAATCCCTTGAAAGAACCACCCTTTTTTGCACCCTAAAAGACTGAAACCCTAAGCCCTTAAACCCCAAAGGGTCCTACAGGGCCTTCTGCTGCCGAGCTGCCGTGCTGGCTGCCAGGGCGCGGAAGCGGGCAACCTGGCCGGGCCTCAACCGCTGGGCTTAGGGTTCGGGTTTCAGGGTTCAGGGTTGAGGGTTTAGGGTTTAGGGCTTAGGGTTTAGGGTTCGGGTTTCTTGGTTTAGGGTTTCGGGGTGTAGGGTTTGGGGAAGGTCTTGAGGTTTTGGGTGTCGGGTTTGGGGTGTGAGGTCGTAAGATAGAACGTGAGGCGCATGGCCGCTAAAGGTGTACCCCTGACCCGACAGACCGGGCTTCAAACTTAACTTTGGGGCTTTAGGGCTTAAGGGTTTAAGGTTTGGGGTTATATGTGTTTAGGGTTTACGGTTCAATTTTTACGGCTGAGGAATAAAGAGCCTAACCATGTCGGTCTTTTGCGTTGCAGGTAGGGAAAGACTCGATCTTGCGTGAGATCATGTTGCGATGCGCAGGCTTTCCGAGACCGCGCGGATACCTTAACAGTATTCTGTTGAGGAGAGTACCTTAAGCTACCATAATAGGTCCTTGCGCACGCTTTCTGTACTCTGGCAGCATGAACAAGAACCCTCAGCAAGAATCCGGATTGGTTCAGACTTTCAGGTTTTCAGGGTCAGGTAGTCTATCATCCCCCCGCCGTCTGCAACGACCTTGCCTTATTGTGCTTACGGCTTCGGGCGGATCACGAAACGTCTGAGCTTCACACAACCCAAGCCTTAAGACCTTCAACTTCAACCCTATACCCTACACCCAAAGCCCAAAACCCCTAAACCCCTAAACCCTAAACCCTGAACCCTAAACCCTAAACCCCTATAACGAAGTTAGGTTTGCACCATCTTCGACATTTCTGGAGCCGAGGTGCTTGTACAAGGCCTTGTCTGCCTCCGCACATGGTGCTCGTCTCTGCTTTCAGGATTCTGGGGCCGAGGGTTTAGGGTTTAGGGTTTAGGTTTAGGGTTTAGGGTTTAGGGTTTGGGGTTTAGGACTAAAGAGACCATAGACTCTTTAGGGCATGATGTTCTACAGGCATAGAACCAAGGACAAATTTGTTCAAGTTGGGGCCCTGAGGAAGCCGAGACCTGAAATGAACAAACGCCTCGGACCCCAGGACCTACGTCCTAAACACCGAAACCCTAAACCCTAAACCCTAAACCCTAAACCCTAAACACCGAAACCCTTGAACCCAGAAACCCCAAACCCTGAACCCTGAGGGTTGATGGCTTAGGGTTTAGGGTTTGGGGCTTCAGGGGTCTAGAGTTTGGGATTTGGGGCTTGGGGCTTTAGGATGTGGAAATCGAAGATCGGCCTGATGAGAGGGACTTCAAGAGTAAGAAGGATATGAAATCTGGTTGCAATCACACCAACGTACGTAGCATCAACAGGAAGCCAGGAGAGGCACTTTTGATCATGAAAAGCATAACATACAAAGATGAGAAATGATGAGAATAAAACTAAGAATAGCTATCAGGCTATCAGTATATTGCTGCTAGCAGCACAAGCTTAACAAGACTTACCCAGATATCACGCCATACGCTGCAAAAGACACAAAACTCAAAACCACCAAAAAAAGAAGCGCCGGAGGGGGGGGGGCCTCCAAAAGGATGAGACCGGCGGAGGCAGCGACAGCGACCTTCCGAGACCGAAGCAAAGGCTTCCCGAAGGCCCCCGATAAACCCTTTAGGGACTTGGGCTTCGGGCTTCAGGGTCTAGTTTAGGGTTTAGGGTTTAGGGTTTAGGGTTTAGGGTTTAGGGTTTTCTAGTGTTCAAGGCTTAGGGTCCTGAGTTTGTAAATGAAGCGTTGGGCAAACTGTTAACCCAAAACCCAAAACTGTTAAACCCTGAAGCCGTGACCGCGGTAAAGGGCGAACAGCCTTCACTATCTGCCACAAAGCTTGCAGATTAAAGGCGTGTAGGGTCCTTCCGACCATTCCCATCGTAGTCTTAGGATTGAGAATAGTCGGCGAAAGCTGTCACACAAGTACAATTGCTGCCATATTTCACCTGGTCGCTAGTCTGAAACTACCTTGCCGTAACACCCTAAAGACCTAACCTGCTATACCCTGCAGCTCTGGACCTCCAAACCCGAAACACCAAGCCCAGGGTTTAGGGTCTAGGGCTTAGGGTTTAGGGTTTAGGGTTTAGGGCCTACACCCCGTAGTCGCAGCCCTAAACTCTAAACATCCAAGCCCAACGCCCTTAACCTCCAAAACCCCCATGAATCCTGCAAAACACTGCCAGGAATGCAAGAAGCCACAAGGTACCCGGACCTCATAAACACCATTTCAAAACTGGATCAACTCCTGTAAAACCGCTTAATGCCCTACAAAAATTCGAAAAAAACCCTAAACCCTAAACCCTAAAAAACCCGAAATATCCTACACCTCCCCCGAAGGCCTCTGCACTGAGGCCTGCCGGCTCCTAGGAGCGAGCAGATGGGAAGGTGCCCAGTTTAGGGATTAGGGTTTATGGTTTAGGGTTTAGGGTTTGGGGTTTAGGGTTTAGGGTCTTTGCAGGGTATTGGGTTTTGGGTTTGGGGTTTAGGGTTTTGGGTTTGGGGCTTAGGGTTTAGGGTTTCGGGCTTAGGGTTTGCGGTTCGGGGCTTTTGCAGGGTATAGAAAAAAGTTCGCTACAAGGAAAGATCTACAAATCTGACCGGGGAATCAACCTGTAAGGCGTCGAGGCCTGAAGCAGGAAAGCTAAAGCGACTCTTCACCTCCAAACCCAGCATCTCGGAACCCTCCGAAAACGACATCAGCCGTCCCCTTCACCGGAGACTCCAGAAAGCGGCGATGTCTACAATCCCCGGGCTGGTAATTAGGATTGACGACCACTATGATACCATTGTAGCACCATTATCATACCGCTGTTATAGTACGACTGCATACCAACTCTAGTAGCACTAGAACCAGAATACTTCTGTGATACTATCATAATGATATTCCTACTACACTGCCATTCTTCTCCTGCGGGGTCACAGCAGGACGCTGGTTCTCAATGCTTTAGGGTTGTAGGGTCTAGGGCTTTAGCTTTGTATGGGTTTAGGGCCTAGGGTTTAGGATTGTGGGGCTCAGCGCTTAAGCCCCACGTCCTGCACCAAGTACGATCCGGCAGCCAGGTTAGAAGGCAGCGTCAAGGCGTAGAGACCCTGGCGAAGGCATGCTGGAAAGCCTTCACCCAAGGAATGCTTCGTGCCAACATGCCTGCATTGCACATAAAACATTGACAAGCCAGCTCTGTACAGTCTTTAATCTTTTGCATGCGTGCAGAGCCCCATAGACTGCACACCGCAACCCTGAGCCCACCGTTCCATTGCCTGGTTTTGCGCATCTGGGCTTCTGATGGCCAACCTCTTGTCAATCCAAGGGAGGCGGATGTGGGACTGTTCTCGGGTACGACTACCTTTGGGTCGTTCGAGGTGGTGCTGCATAGAAAATTCTTTCTAGGGCATCGTGTCACGGCCATGGGGCTTATAATACGTCATGGCTCACCCTGCATCTACATGTATCCAACTGGATGGTACTGCATGGACATCCTTGAGACGCTCATGCTTGACGGAAAAAGACGACTTTTGAACTGCTCATACACGAAGGTCCTCTTCTTCAATGCATAACGCTTGGACTATGTACCCCCAGAATTGCACATCATGTATGCTCAGGATCCACCGCAAGATCACAACTGCCACAAGCTCACATGGGTTTAGGTTTTTGGGTATAGGGTTTAGGGTTTAGGGTTATGCAACATATCTCCGGATTCCAGGTCATGGGCAGCAGGGGTTGAGACATTCTCGTCCCACACAGACACGATCGCAGCTGTCGCAGCCTGCGGCTGCTCCCTGCAAGGACCGGCACTACCTCTTACTACCAAAAATGCCCCCCCTATATTCCCGAAGCAAGCATACTAGAATAACACCGTGCAGCCCCATTCCAGTTGTTACGTGAGACCCCTTTTCTATAGAAACCGGCTTATAAGCCTCAACGGAACCGATTCGAATTATGAAGGCCCCATGAGGCCCCTTTATTGTAGAATCCTTCTAGCAACCCCCGGAGAAGAACCCTTTCCCGGAATCCTATAAGGACCCCTAACCCTAAACCCCAAATGGTATTCTGACCCTAAACCCTAAACCCTAAACCCTATCTTAATTCTGAAGGCCCCCTTTTTTTCTGTGCCGGCCAGGGGGCGTGGTGCCGCCAGATTTCAGGAGCAGCTCTGAGGGGGCCTGCTGCGAAGAAGGCTCCCAACGGTTCTATAAGAGTTTAGGGTTTAGGGTTTGGGTTTAGGGTTTAGGGAGGGTTTAGGGCTTAAGGTTTAGGGTTTAGGTTACAAAGGGCTCCATAAACGTCCCGTAAGGGTTCGATAAAGGTTCCGCTAAGGGTTTCAAAAAGGCTTCTGTAAGGGCTGCGTAAGGTTTGTGTACGGGTGCCGGAAGGGCTCCAGCATGCTCGTGAGTGGCTCGTAAGTCGCTCGTAAGTGGGTCCGTTTCGGGAAAACAGAGGGGTGAGACAGGAGAGGGAGGGAGTGGCTCGTGAGTGGCATGTGAGTGGCTCGCAAGTGGCTCGTTCGCCCAGAAGCAGCCGGTTTGGGGGAGTGGGATCTGGGGGTTTGCGGTAGGGGTCTGGGATCTATGGTGGGGTCTGGGGTCCGNNGGGTTTGGGGCCTCAGCTGCGGCCGATGCCGTCCAAGCGACTGCACGGCAGCACATGCCACGGAACCAAGTCGCTCACGACTGAATCAGCAAGACGAGTCTAGGAACCCTGAAAACCCTGAGCAACTCAGATGGTGCTTTCGAAGGCAACACGATCTTAAGAAGTGATGGCCCCAAGTTCGGTGGCACGTACTTGTCGCTTGGAGCAGGAGCAGTTTCAGCAGCAATAGCAGTAGCAGCAGCAGGAGGAAGAGGAAGAGGAGCAGGAGTAGGAGTGGGAGTAGGAGCAGAAATAGGAGTAGGAGTAGGACAGGAGTAGGACAAGGAGTAGGAGGAGTAGAAGTAGAAG